TATGGATGAGCAATATGGCAAAACAATTAACATCCCGATGCTTTGAGACATTTTCACGATACACGATATGCATAACTATGTTTAGTTTTAAAATACATTTGTTTAGTTGAAACGAATACAATGATTTTTCTTTAATGTTTCACATACTGTGCTGCTATAAACCCAAATAAACAGGCCTAATTATGCTCTTTGTAATGAAACCTCCAGCTGTTCAGGGTTCTTCAAGTATTGTCAATATCCACAATATGCTCAGAAAGGCCCATAGTGAAGTAAAATTATGTATTTTATCATGGCAACAATAAATATCACCATACTGCAGATCCCTACACTGTAGTGATGAACATTTATATATGGAGGTCCCAAATTTAAACAAGTGCAATTTTCAATCCAGAGCTGCAGTTTTATTATAGCCTACATTATCAACAATTGTTTTAACAGGTTTTAAGCGTAGAAATTGAACCTAATAACACTGAGCTTGTGAACTACCTGTAGATGAAACCTATTAGAGCAACAAAACACCCATGTGCTGTGGCATCACTGTCAGCCTTAAGCCAGAAAAAAGTGGATATGCTGGTCTTCTTGGCCTATAAAAATGGGCCTGGATCTCAATTTATAGAACACTAAATTTAAATCGCAGTCACAAAATGTGCATATTTGTGCCACTTCATGGCCTGATGTTTACAAAAAGAAATATAAAATAAAAAGCCTGGAGTCAGAACAGCATATATAGAGTCAATTCCACTTAAAATATCTAACTGCAACTGAATATGGTATAATTATGTTGCTAAACTAAAGACATCGCCCTGAGGGTACCACCCTAGAAACAAGTTAGTACCTTTCCTCTGATAGCGTAGTTCAAGTTCACCTGTTTTGTAACAGGTGACTTGAAACTAAGCTCTAATGTGACTCTTCTCACATTAGAGGTGCATGTTTATTACAATATAAAACCAACAGTGAACATCACTGCCTTACTGGTGGGTTTTCTGATACCAATATGTCTGTGTAACCTGAACATGGGCCAATTTTACAGGCCGAACAATACATTGCTTGGGTCCTAGTATATTAAAGTTCTGTTCACAGACCCCTGTGACTCTGTAAAGGACACTATAAGGAAAGCTGACACTTTTATAACTGGCAGAGTCTGTCTATAACAGCATGCCCCTAGCAGAGAGTGCCTAAGGGAGCTAGCAATAACACACTTGTGTGTAGCGGGTGCCAGGCTTCTGTCAGGGCCGGGCCTCAGCTGTCTGGCTGGGAGAGAGCAAGAGAGGGGCAGGTGAGAGAGGGAAGACTCTGCTAAGTCTGCTCAAATCCACTAGTGCTATAAGAAGCTTTCTGAGGCAATGCGGTCCTAGTATGTCAATCAAAGAGAAAAGCCACTCGTTTTGGTTGCCTAACATTTTACTCGCTCATTGTGCCAAGGTACCTCTTGGCATGTGGGGATGCGGGTTTGGTAAGAAAATGGTACATAAAGGTTACTCGGTTGTTCAGTTTAATAAAAGAGACTTAAAACATCAACTAAATTGACAGAGAAACGCAACAAAGCCGTGTTCGCAACGGAATTTTAGGAAATGATTGGGAATATATCACTGGTATGACATTTTTCATTATACATGTCAGAGCTCCCTCCTTCCTGTCAGTGTGGTGGGGTTCGACAATATAAAGCAAACACACTTTTTATATATATATATATAAAATACACACACACACACACATATATATATATACATATATATATACATATATATATATATATATATATATATATAAATATATAGACATAAATATATATATATATATATGTATATTTCCAACAAAACAACATCCAAAGCATTCTGTACATTGCTGTTCTGTACAGGCATGCTTAGAAAGCATCGCAAGATGAAATCTCCCCTTTCTTGGAATGCTTTCTACATAAACTGTCTAGATCTACCTAGAAAAGAAAAGATAAGACCCTTCGAGATGCTCCACAGATAAGCGGAAGTGACAACGGCACGGATTACTGCCATAAAGAGTACCTGAAAGGGAAATTGCCTGAATCATGAGCATGTTGCCTGCATTCTGGAGCTATTTAATGCTTGTTCTCACGGTGGCATGGCTGTTAGGAACATGATTATCACCTCTCTTTGAACAAAAATAAACCTACCCTCAATATTATCACAATGGGAAATTTATTAGTGCAGAGCAAACAGTGGCATTTTCACACTCTTATTGGAGGAAATATGGGCTGTAATTGATTACGGGGGGGGGAACTTACTATTTGAGGTTAACAAGATTACCATTGCTCCACCCAATTAGATGGTTAAATTATTTTGATGGAGCACTTTATGGAAGCGTGACCCGAGATTGCTTCAGCCACAAATTGTAGCAAATTCGGCTTAGTTGAAAATGAATTATTGCTGAAATTGCAACACTGAAAAGCGCATTCAAAATAATCAGCTTGAGAAAGAAATTATGTTTAACACAGCATTACGACACAGTATACTGTGGCAGCTACATGGAGGATCTAGAGGTCCATGAATAACACACAGAGTAGTCTGCAAGTAATTGGACACTGACAATATTTGTTGGTTTGGCAATCTACTCCAGCACATGTGGATCTAATATACAGACACAATGCACATAGACATGAAACCTTGTGTGCAACCCTGGGATCATGCTAATGTAGTCATCTCTTTATAGCAGTCTTTGATACATCTATGCCGACACCCTTGATGGTACTAGATCTGTTGAATATATTTTGTATACATCAGTTTTTCTTGATGAAAAAGTATCCGTTGGCCATCCAGTAATGTGGTCTACAGGGTTTGTTTCTGGTACTTCTGTAAGAACTCTATGGTTCCCTGATATGGGGCACTACCTACAAAAGGGCTGTGATTCCTTTACGTTTTGCCTAATATACAAAAAACTGTAGTGATTTTAATATAAAAACTCTTGTTCATTCTAGAGACAAAATTACAGGGTTAATTGCTGTGAAGTTATTTAGTTCATTGAGTTCAACCACTATGCATATCGCTGCTGTTGGAACAAAACCCTGTATCTCCAAAATGGCAACTTTACAGGAGAAGGAAAAAAACTGCTTTACTTTTAATGTAAGTCAATGGAACCAGAAACATTTTCAAGTAATTCTGGACAATTTCTTTCATCATGAAATTTACACCCAATGTAAAGGACAACAGGTACTTTCAAATTCTGTCAAAAAGTAAAAAATGACAAAAATGGAGATACTATGTTTTGTTCCGACAGCTTTACTTACTATACCAAGATCAAAAGGACAATGTGTATGTGGCAGATATCTCCTTTTGAGACTCCACATCTATTATAAATCAAGGTCATTATAAAAACTTTGCCCATCATTTGTGTTCTCCTGGCTCCACAATGGCACACAATGCTTGGACCCCGATGATTGCCACTGGCAATGTAATTTGTAGACCGTCACTACGCTCTCATAGCAGAGATAAACCACAGAAATAAACACGTTCTAGATCAGTTTCAGACAAAAACTAAATAAAGCAGATTATCTTGGTTTCAAATAATGATAATTTACTCATATTTATTCCGCTCATATTTTCATCTACTGTTCAAAAGCTACTGGAAAAAAAAAGAAACTTGAATTGTGAAAATGAAACAACATTGGTGCTAGCAGGATAAAAACGTACCACAAAGGAATATTCACTGTGCGTTAAACCAGTAGTGTTGGATAAGGTGCCAGAGGCTACCCCTTTAGAAAAGCTAATACGCTAACTCTAACACTAGAGATAACCAGTGAAGGAATTGATGATGATGTGTCACTGGCTTCTACACAAGTTTTTTTTTCTCCTTGGTGGATGATGTGCACACATTTTGGTTTGTTGGAGTAACATTAAGCACATTAAAATTACCTTTTCACTGTTTTTAGTCATCCCTAATGTCAACTATAGTTGTTAGCTTACTTGTTACAGCCACCTTACCTCTACCTTCTCAATCACGCCTTGGAAATATAAGCAAAACTGTCAAACTCTGCAGCCTTGTTAAAGGTTAATGACACTTCACTGAACTACTATTCTCTCCCGGACTTTCAGTTATGCTGCATAACCAATATCCAAACAATGACTTCAGTATTCGAATTCTGGTAAATGGAATAGTTAGCTTAACATTTGACTATCTATGCACCCTCCTAATAGTCATTTGGCACACAGTGCTCATTTACTTAATCTAGGATTAGGTTCATGCTTCCGTTTTCACATTAAACTGTATTTGAACACCAGCTGTTTGGCAGCACTTCTTGATGTCATATGAGAGTGACCACCAAATGTCATTATCATATTTTTGAAATACTCTTGGTTTGAGCTGACTAAAAAGTAAGCGCACATGTTCAGAACTTTGTGAGATTACATTGACCTGACAGTGATTGTCAACGCCACACTGTCAGAACAGTATCAAAGTCTTAACCCTATAATACAGCGACATGCATTTTAGAGGCCGCTGAAGCAAAGTTCTGAGACATAAAAATACCGCTCACTATGATGGCCCCAACTCCAGGAAAGTAGAATGTCTTTTTAACAGCAATTACACGTGTGCGAGTGTTACATTTTCTGCCAAATTAGCTTCAAACCGCTTGATCCCGGGCACCTTCCGAAGATGTGCCGTTTTAAAACTGCAGGCCCTGCGTTTAGGTACGAGCACACATCAAAGGTGCAAACTCGCACCTTGAAAACGTTTTAGCACTTGGCTTGAGAGCATTGTGCCCGTCATTAAAAAGAGGAGCCAAAAGTGCGGTAGACACTGTCTCACTTCAAAACTGTGGGGGAGGGCTTTCCATTAACTCCAATGGAAAAGGCCTGCAGGATGTTCTGCCTATGCTCAATGGGGCACGAACGTTCGGGGCGCGAGAGTGCGTGAGCGCGCGAGTGTCTGTTTGTCGCCTCTGTGTCTTATGTAGGCAAAATGGTCGCAGACCCATTAGCTCAATTTGTCACAGTCGGAGCACCCCCCCAAGATGGCTTATCGGCGTGACATACCTCGCGAGTAGCCAGCCTGTCACTCAGCTCCTCTGCCTTCTCATAGTCCCCTTCAGCGATGGCGCTCTCCATGCTCTTTTCCAGGCCTGACTGGAGATGAGAGGGGGGGAGAAATAAAATGAAGTGATTTTCAAATAGAAATAGAAGGGAAGAAAGAAAGATAGAAAAAAAAATCAAAGAGTAACTTAAAAAGTCCCCCAGGCTCTTGTTTTAATAAGACTGCCATTACAACAAATATGTAGATTTCTTCTCACAAATGAAAACTGTTACTTGATTAAATATTAAACCAAAAAATAATCTTTCCACAATACTGCAGATTACAGAACACAAATGCTAGTTTTAATTACATATTTAGTCCTTTTATTTCCATATTTACAAGCACAGTTGCTGTTCCAATAGGGTTCACTGATAGCTGATGAATTAGGACTTGATCCCAAAATCAAACCACAATACATAGCAAACACAGCACTCTCTATTTGGGGAGGACAAACCAAAAGGCAAAAAAATCTGTAATGAAGCTTTATTTTTAATATTCTAAGCATGACTCATAATTGATCACCAAGCCCCATTCCATACTGCAAATTCAAATTAAAATCTAATATTCATTGTGGTTGGAAGTATGTAAACATTTAAAGCACAAGAACAAAGAACTCAGCCTAATCAGGCTGACTGACAATTTCATTAAAACTTATTTCCTTAATTCATACGCCGAGCCTTTAATAATCATTTGTTTTATTCCAACAAAACAGGCTCGCTCTTTGAAACTGAGGCTAACGCACCTCATAATTGAATGGCGCTACAAGATAAACTGCGCTGAAAATAGCATTTTAAATGTGGATACGGTCAGTAGAATTACTTATAACAAATTACATTTGCCATCATTCTGCTTATGTGACAATTCAGAAATTTAATGTACCAAACTCATACATATGCTAGTGCAAAAATGGCTCCCAGTAAATTAGCTGTTTACCGAGCTTTGCATTGCAGAGAGTTATTTATAGGCAGTTTAATAAGGAACATTTCTCAGTAACTAAACTGAATTATGAAAAGACAAAGTGAGCATATTAAAATATCTACCACCATCACTTTTTTGACTCCTTTTTTATGGCAGTGCCTTCATTTCAGTGGACTTTTTTCACGAACCAACACCAATTTCTAATGTATTTTGCATCTACAAGGTACAGTTTCAAAGGCTGTAAGGCAACAAATGTGTTACTAATTAGTTGGTATTGTCTCCAAGATGGTGCAACATGGCATTTTCCTCATAAGTAAAGCATCTCCACACTTTTTTCAGCCCAAATTGGATATACCCTAACTGAAGCATCTGCAGTGGACTAATTGGGCTTGTTATCACAGACAAAGACTACTTTTAATAAATGTGCAAAATATAATGTGTAAATCTCAAAGGTACAAATAACATATTTAGCTCTAAGTTTGGTAACCTTAAAGTAATTTAAAAACAAAGGAAGTCCTAGAGCACTTGGGCACTGAAGAACACTGAAATCCCAGCTGATATCTCAGAATTCTGGGATGAAGCGCAGCACAGCCCCTTTAAAAATGAATTCCACCGCTTTCTACATAATTCAATTGTGGAGCAAAGTCATGCAAAGTGAACTTCATTCAGTTGCTGTCACCACCACTGTGAACAATTCTGAATCGCTACGTTTCTCTAGAAGGGAGCATTTCACATCAAACTACTCGAAAAAGACTGAATTAGACAAATGTAAAGAAATAAGGAATTCTCCTTCAAAACTTTTCTAAGACAACATGGACAAAAATCAGACTGTAGGATAACAAATGGCTTGTTATATTCTGCTGGACTGTAAATGTAATTGAAATCTACACCTTCCAATATGGACCATTCTTCTGAACTGGTTCAAACTGTGGTCTCATAGAAAAAAGAACTATTTTAAAAACCAATGAAGTCTTAGGAGCTTAAATATTTACAAGGAATATGTTATGATCTGTTTAAACACAAAACATTAACTGAGATAGTAATAAGCTAAATACACACAAAATCATTATTTATAGGATAATTTCTATTCAGAGGTGTTTGTCCCAAACCTTAACCGTGAAACTTGTGAAAATAATACTTACATTTCTTTATGTTTTTTAAAAGGTTATTTTGATTTCTTTTAAAGTGAAGTTGAAAGATTTAGATTTACCATGAGTTTCATTTTTAAATAAAAAAAAAAAAATGCTGTGTCATGTTTTTGTGTTGCTACCAAAACACACAGAGTTTTAGTCCATAGGCAGAGCCTTATTTTAGCCACGCCCCTGCATTTTAGAGCAGGAAGTGAGACTGCATCCCCGTCCCTCATGGCCACATGGTGAGCAGTTAGATCCCACTGTTTTCAAGTAAATGCATCTCAAAGTCTAAAAAAATCAACCTGGAATATTAAAAATTGTCATTACTGGCTAGTGTTTTTGAGTTCTGCTCAAAATGAGCTAAAATTAACATCACTGAAACAGTCACTACCGAAACATTTTGTTCAGATATTCGGTTCAGATTTGATAGTGTTATCATTGCTTTAGTAGTGACAAAATGAAATGCTCACTTGCTCTATTAAAACAAACTTACTTAAGCTACAGGGTCACTCAAAGCAAAAGGATTTTAGTCCAAGTCTGTTAAATGTCCGAAATGTGTTTTCAACTCTGTCTTTGAATCAATTAGGCAGAATGATCTGTATATTAAAAACACATGATCCCTTGCTGTGACTTGGTTAAAGACTGGCCTGTGTTATGTCTGACCAAAAATGTTTATGCTGGTAAGACAATGTGCATATTGTGATTGGTGAGTGAGTTAAAAACACAATGTTTAGCTACCTTGCATAGTGCCACCTTCTGTAACATCAGCACTGCAATAAAACACTGTTAAAATAAAGGTTCTGTGCAGGTATATTTCTGGTTCATCAAGGTACAAACAACGTAAATGTTCCCTCAAAGGTACAACAGTGGTTTTAAGGTCCGACTGTGAACCTTAAATAAGTTTTTCCAGGTTAAAAGTTCGTATTTGTACCTTTTCATAACCGAATGTTAAAACAGAACAATAAAATAAAAAGCCTGGAGACGAGACGGGGTGTGTGGAGTCAGTACAGCTTAGAGAATATCATTTCAGTGGATTATGGTACAGTTATGTTCCCTGACTAAAGGTACTGAGATGTACCATTGAGGGTACCACCCCAGTGACAAGAGGGGGACTGCCCCAGTGACAGTTTAGTACCTTTTTTTTTTCTGAGAGTGTAGTATTCAATAAATGATCAACAGTGTAGCCCTAAATAATCCCTATCAGGAGCGTTTTATCAGTACGTGGCTTACAAATGTTAGGCCAATTAGAAGCTTCCGGTCTCACAGTTCTGAGATGTTTGTGAGAAACAAGGTCCAGATGTCTTACGTGCTATGTGCCCCATTCTCCATCTAGTATCTCACATTCCAGGCATGGAATCTTCTATTCTCCTTCCCATCATCGAATTACAGCATTTTACAAGAGCTATTAACTTTTGTGTGCTGAGGGTTTCCACTACACTCATACCTCCTTTAGAAAAATCCACCTCACGCTCACAATCTTAAAGCTCAACCAGAGAACAGACGGTGCTGCAACATCCCCGTGTCAAGATTAAGGTAATCTCATCATTAAATATAATCATTTCCATTCAGTTCTTCTCAGTGCCACGCTGAAGAAAAGATGCCTCTTCAGACTGTCGCTCACATTTCACATAGAGAACAATTACGTTACACATACAGTAGGCATGCAACAGAGGAGGGTAGGGAGATAAAGATGATTCTGTGGCATCGGGGTGGAATTAGAACACCCACAGAGTGCTACATTAAGATGGCAGAAACCATTGTTACCTTGAGCGGAGGCCTGCTACAGGCAGGAGGCTGAAATCTATCGTTGGCGCCAAAATACTGCGTTAGCTCCTCCCAGTGCTTCGCACGCTCCTCTTCTCGCTTGCTGCAAAAGAGGACCATAGTGACAGCCGTTTGTGTTCATTATCAGTTCAGCGCAAGACCACCTTGAACGCTCTGTTAGATTAGAACATTTCTATATTCGTCCGTTTTCTGACAGAGGCACTACAGAGCTGGGTGGGTAATTCAGTTAACGCACTAACGTATGTGCGCTTCTTTAAACGGAAAGGGGGCATTAAACATTCATCTTTCTATTTCCCTCCCTCTGTCGCCCAGTCAATACCTCTATCTGTTCACCTAAAGGTAACGCAGAGGTGTTTCTTTCATGTGTTCTCATTTGTAGAGTCAGTGATGCCATTACTTCTACACTAAATTGCTAAGCCTAGGAACTAACGTGTACTGTATTTGCTTTGTTTGCATGTACAGGACTGTTAAAAGTCTGGAACCACTGTTTTATGAAATAATAATTATCGGAATAATAAGAAAGCATTTTGGTTTCATATCAGTGGATAACATGAGCTCAGTGGGAGGGTTCTGCGTGATTTCATAGCTTTCAAGTAATCTGTAGGAAGGTCGAAAATGAACTTCAAATAAATCAAACATCCACCTGCCTCTTATTCTGAAACTGATCAGATATTGTGGTAGATAACATGACTAAGAATTACTGTAAATACATAATTACAGCCTATAATTTACAGCATAATTTACACAGGGGTGTCAAACTCAACCACTAACGGGGCCATATTAAAAAATCTCAACAAATCTGTTGGCCAGAGAAAAAATAGTTTTATTTTTATTAATGTTGTGCTGTAACCCAAACCGGCCACTGTTTATTCAAAACACGCAAAAACTTCAACAGTAAAATATAGGCACTTGTAGTAGACCTTGAAATATTACAAGAATACATGAAATATTCAAAATTTAAACGTCCCCAGGAGCTCAGTCTTTTAAACCTACCCATCTGCTTGAACTAGGCCCCTGGCATCCTTTCTTTGCTGCACATCCATTAAGACTTGGGCTCAGTTTCTGAGCTGCTGAGCTGACGTTTGGTGTTTATACTGGTTGAACTGCAGCTCAAATGCAGCTAGTGTGTTTGGTGATATGACAGGTGTTGAATTGTGTAGAATGAGGTGTAACCGCTGTCCCATAGATTGTTGTTGGGGTAGGAGAGTCAGGGCACACATTACACTGATGTGCATGATGGGAACTGTAGTGCAGTGCATTGTGAAACAGGCTAACATTAATATAAACTAAAATACTTTTGCGGGCCGGATAGAATTGTGTCGTGGGCCTGATCTGGCCCGTGGGTCTTGTGTTTGACACATGAGGCATATAATAACATACAGCGAAAATATCTACATTTTTCAATACACAATTCATCTAAAGATTTTGTTTTTCTGAGCCCTGATAAATTGGAACAGTAAAAACAGTAGTATCACTTTTTTATTGTTTATAATCAAGAAGAGGGCTAACTGCACTTTCTTTGTAGTGAAACCCACAGATGATCCGTTTTCTTTTACGTACGGACAACATCCACAATACTATGATGATTCAATTTATCATGATAACAATAAATATCATTTTAATGCCCATCCCTATCCAAAATTTTACTTTATTTTTGGTGTCTAACTTGTAAGATTTTATATCAAAGCTATTCTTGGACATTAAATAATAAAAATTATTAATATAACAAGTGAATCTAAAGATTTTTACAGTAGTGTACTAACAAATATGGACAAATCTCCATATTGCAAATAGATGGCTAGATACTGTGACGGCCAAATGCCTCAAAATATAAAAAAAACACAATGCTGAACTGGTGATGTAACATGAGCAAATGTAATACTGAAAGATTAATAATTTTTATGCCAAAATTACAACCTATTATCAACAATGGTGTCTTACATTTTAATCAGGAAAATACTAAACCAGTAGATGATTTAGACGAATCAGAGGCAACTAAACACCCGTGTGCTGTGACATCATAACCACAACTAACTGGCAGTCCGGCACTACGTTCAGCACTCAAGCCTCAAGCAAGAGAAGTGTCCGATTTACAACCAAGTTACGAGGGGTGTTTCAGCCGAGACTGCTTTTCAATTGTGGTGTATTAGAAGGCAGCCAATCAGAACAGATATCATTTGCATATAAAAACATCAAAGGCAAAGCAACGTAAACAGTCTGTTTAATTCTAAGGGATAAAGAGAGGCTGGAAATGGTCATTTAAAAAGAATTATGATTGATCTTGGGAAATCAATCCACACCACCATCATAAGTGACAAGTTACCTGAATAAAGTAAACAACAAAAAAATGAATAGAATAAAATGCAGGATATGAGCCCTTTAAATCACAGTAATCACAGTCACAACAGCAGTCTGAAAAAACGCAACTGGATATTTTTCCCAAACCGTTCAGCCCTAATCAAATGGCCATTTTGATCAAAATTATTTACATCTTAGATCACTCCATCCAAACAGAAAATCAACACAAACTCTGCTAAAACATCTGAGGGTGGCCAGCACACAATAAAACTATCTGTGATTGGTATAAAGGCTCATTTGCCTCCTGCAGTATCAACACTGCAAAGGGCAGTACCACAATAACAGTTAACAAACAACAGCCCTAGTATTATGGTATAAATGTCTGAGCCAATCCACACCTCCTGTTATTTCTATAAGCCATAATTTAACACTTAAAAGGAGAAGGTGAATCTAACTGTTTAGTCAAATCGTTCACCAGTAACAGAAGTGTAAGCAGACCACGCGTTTATCAGGACAGCATGTGCATTCACTTGGCCACTGTAGCCAGATGGCAGTGTTGCAGGTTTCTCCCACCTCATGTGTCAGCACCTGAGTGGTGTTGCTGAGCTACAGAGGAGAGAAGACACCTCTGTCGCTCCTTCGTGGTGAGAATGTGGCCAGATGTTGAAGACCCTCAAGCAAAGACAGCCATTTAAACCTGAATCCAGCCTGAACAATGAAGCATTGATCTCTGATGATGTGTTTATTTTCCATTCACCAGCACTCTTTAAAGGCCCCATCTTGAGTACTTTAGTGTTGCATGTGAGTGTTTTTTACCTTTTCTCTTCAGAATCACCAGCCTGCTCTTGAGCTCCATCTGTTTGCAGAAGAGAAAAAATATGAAATGCTGTAGGATTATGACATATAAAGCAACAACACAGCTATAAAACAGAGCATGCTAGTCATTGTAGTTATCAGTATAAAAAGAAGATACACATAGTAGAATGACTTGAATGTGGTCTTCATTCTAGACCTGCATACCTTCTCTGTGGCGTCTCTTCCTCCGTTTTTTTCTACGTGGTTGATTCACCGTCTGAACTTCTCTTTCCTTCTGGAGATCTTTAAATTTCTGCAACAACAAATTGAGCCCGTTTACTTGAAAATGATGGTTTTTCAAGGGTTCTTTAATACAGAAAATGGTTCGATATAGAACCATAAATATTCAAAGAACCCTTTCCATGCACTATAAAAGGTTCTTTGCACCATGAAAGGGTTCTTCAGACTGATGGAGAATGTGCTGTAAATGGATTTAGAAACAATCTTTTGGAAAAGGGTTCTATTATAACAAGCCTGACATCGTAACAATAGGAGAACCTTTTTTGGTGCAATATAGAACCATCTACAGAACATCCTCCACTTTTATGATGCATAGAGCCCTTTAATTATGGAAAGGGTTCTTTGAATGTTCATGGTTCAATATAGAACCTTTTTTTTTTTACTAAAGAACCCCTGAGGAACCATCAGTTATAATGCGGATTGTTATAAGCAGATATGTGCTTAAAGAAACATCAGCATCGGACGGATGTTTAGATTTAGCCAGTATTTCAAATCGATATTTAATAATGTACTTACTACTCATAAATAAACGGTTCAGATGTAAACAACGGCATTCAGAGTGGTTTGGTGTGAAAGGCTCTGTTCTAGAGAATCCTGCTGAGTCAGAACTGTCCACAGTGCTGCTGAAAGCTCCCTCACAGAAAGATATTACATGAAATGGTTTGATATATGCTGCCTGTTGTCAGTCACACTGCTTTATGAGAGTTTTGTGATAAATTTTGACTTAAAATGTATGTTAATCCATTTATTTTAACCCATTAATGGGTGGACTACATGCAGGGTGTTATGAGGCAAAATAGTTCCCATAGAAAACTTCCTTTCTTACATTTATGGCTATTTTACCATCATTAACATTACATACAAAAACTCAGAAGACACGTGTAGGTTTACTGGTGGTTTTTGATAGTAAATAAAATGGCTATATTCGTGTTGAACCCCTGGTTCCTATCACCACCACTGTGAAGAGTCTCTACAATGAAGCACTTCACGCCAAACCGCTCTGAATGACTCTGCTTACGTCTCAAGGACTGAATTATTCAGAAAATTTTGAAACATTGGTGGAATTCCCCTTTAACGTATAGCCAAAGCAATGCTTGCGTACTTGCCACAGTTTTAGAGAAACCCCGGGTAAACAGTCGTCAGTGAAGGAGGACTCATTCGGCAAACTAGGCTCGCTCTGACAGCTAACAAACGCGGACTGCTGCTTTGTTTGGCACGCTAACGTCGAGGCTGGAGGAGAGGGCGAGCGCTGCTCCGGCTCGTCGCCGTGTAGGTGAGCCTTGAGCCCGCTGTCCTCGTCCTCCTCACCGTCGCTCACATCAGCCTCGCTGAGCCCTTTCGGCAGAAGTCCGCTGTACATGTCGCTTCTGACAGGCCAAGACAACCTCCTTCACTCTCTTTAGGCTGTTTTGGTGAAGCTACATAATCAGAGAAGCTGTTTTTCGACCTTAAGAAAAAGTTCCTGACCACATTTACAGCGTTACACTTTCCAACGGTCACAGTGGGAACCCACAGCGACGAAGCGGACTGTTGTTGTTGTGGAGGAAAAACGGCGCTTTCTATTGGACGGAAGGGCGCACGCGCTCGGGATGAACGTCGACGCTGATTGGTCGCATGATATGAAGCCTCGCCGTCATTGGCTGTGCGGTGTGGATGCCGTGGCGCCGCTGCTGCTGAACTGAAACCAGTGTTGACATTTTCGCTTAGACCGCTGTAGATTAGTCCGCGGTGAGTAACTGACTCCCAGATCAGCGGTGGAGAGCAATAAACATGTTGGTCAGCCTTTTAGCAGCGATACTAAGGTCAAAATAAAATATAGTCATCGCTTTACATCTGTTATAAACAGGCCTAATCGCCTCATTCATTGGTGCTACTACAGAGCCCTGGTAACATCTCATATAAATAAAAACAGTGTGTGGTCATGGCTTATTAAAGCATGGAACGAGATCCTAATGTGTGGCCACGACTTAGTAAGGCGTGGGAATGAGATAATTAAGTCGTGGCCACGACTTAGTAAGGCGTGGGAAGTGGGAATGTACCGGGCCCCGCTGGTGACATCCTGTATAAATAAAAATAATGTGTGGCCGCGACTTAGTAAGGCGTGGGAATGAGGTGATTAAGTCATGGCCACGACTTAGTAAGGCGTAGGAATGAGATGATTAAGTCGTGGCCACGACATAGTAAGGCGTAGGAATGAGATGATTAAGTCGTGGCCACGACATAGTAAGGCGTAGGAAGTGGGAATGAGATCATGCCTTACTAAACTACGGAGCCCCGCTGGTGACATCCTGTATGAATAAAAATAATGCGTGGCCGCGACTTAGTAAGGCGTGGGAATGAGGTGATTAAGTCATGGCCACGACTTAGTAAAGCATGGGAACGAGATCCTAATGTGTGGCCACGACTTAGTAAGGCATGATCTCGTTCCCACGCCTTACTAAGTCGTGGCCACGACTTAATCATCTCATTCCCACGCCTTACTACATCGTGGCCACGCATTATTTTTATTTATACAGAGTGTCATCATCAGGGCTCCGTACAAAACCGTGGCCACGCATTAGGATCTCGTTCACACTTTAATTATCTTGTTCCCATGCCTTACTAAGTCGTGGCCATGCATTATTTTTATTTATACAGGATGTCACCAGTGGGGCTCCGTATGCTACAATAGTCTCTACAAGGAAATTTCCAGTTTAAAGTCTTGGAAACCCCCCTCTGATGCTGTATTGTGAAGGTGGGAGGAACTTTTGTAAAACTAGCTAGCACCTCCTGACCGATGTTTGAGGGCTGTTTGATTGTTTTCCTACCTAGCTAATGCAGACCGAAGCCACATAGCTAATGTTACTGTTAGGATGCTAAATATCATGTGTGTTTTTATTAGCCTCTACCTCAGTAGGCTAGCAGTCAGGATTTCTTTATCACTGCCAGAGGGATTCCCAGTGGTTGAATGACACTGCACAGTGCACGCTGGGTATTGTAGTGGGAGAACATTACTGGATGAAAACACAAAGAGGATATGAAATGATGAATTCTGCCAAATCAGTGAAGCTGAGGGATGCAGTGCTGCGCTACAGAATACTGCATAGCATAGCAAATAACATTTTTAATGCTAGTTATAGGCCTCAATTCCCTTCTGATTGGGGGTAAGGATTCAAATACAGGAAATGTTCACAGGTTGCATTAAAAGCTTGTGTTAAAGCTGTCACCTGATTTTGAAGTAAGCTGCACGCAGTGTTTTATTAATCACCTATAAAATGTGCACTTTTTATCCTATTAGATGAAATGAAACACTTTTAACACACATACACTGAGGCCTATAGTTGGCTGTGGCCTGGGATTGTGTGCAAAAGTATGACACAGTTATGAATTAACATACAGGCATAATAAAAGCTTCAGATGTCCCCTGTTTTTAGAACTTGGAAGAGGAATTTTTGGTGAAGAAATTCACTTTTTTCTCAGTGAAATGAAATAAAAATAACAATACTTTGAGACCAGCTTGAAAGGCGAGACAGGTAAGCTTTTCCAGATTGTTAAAATCGTCTGCTTTTCTTGGTAGAAACATGATGCTGAATTTTTCCATTCATTTATAATACAAATAAATGAACTAAAGCTCAGCTCCCAGTGTTTGTTCACACTCGATAATTAAGCGCCCCCGTTTCCAAAATGATTGGTTCAATTTATTCAAACAGCTGAGGGCGTCACCTTATCGCTCACGTGATTAGTATGCAAATGTGGCGTAGCCTGTGGCTGCAAACCCCGCTGCTTAACATGCTCATTTAGATCCACTACCATCAGTGTGCTCTAGTATTTATGTGCTTAAATGGGCCGACTGCAAAAGCTATTTACTTCTACCATGTGTTTACCTCACGCTGATACACAGGCAAAATGCTCATGTGCATTGTCTTAATCATCTGAATAATGCCTATGGTTGTCATGTTTTAATTGTATTGAACAATGCATATAAAGAGCTTACTACATGTATAGAGGCACACGTGTATATGTGCATATACATATATATATATATATATATATATATATATATACATATATATATATATATATATATATATATACATGTATATATATGTGTGTGTGTGTGTACATGTATAGATATGTTGATGTATGCATGTGTTTACATATTTCACATGTAATACTAAGCATCACCACACTAATGTACACTGTTTATTTGATGAATTTAACATATTAGGGAAAAGAACCATGTCTGTACAGGAGGTCCAATATGTTAATGTCTAAAATTGTGCACTAAAATTTGCAGAACATTGCCAAATATAAGTTTGTTCTAGGATTTGTAAACTTATTTTTACTTAGAAAATTAACAAAAAATATAATTAGACCAGGGGTGCCCAAACCTTTGCTTGTATCGTCACAATCGAAACAAATATATTACAATCAACACACATTTTCTCTGTTTGGTATTGACATATTTGTTTTGGTATTGACATTCAGTTGTCAATTCATGACGACAGGCTATGTGGCTAAACGCAGAGGACTCCAATATTTGAAAAAAATTGTTTATGTGCAATAAAATCAAACTGACATTGAGAAGATGAAATAAGTGACAAATAAAACAGTCCTCAAAAAAGAGCAAAATATGGCTCAAAGTCATTTTTATTGCTGGTTTTCTGTGATGTTTCCGTACTGAGACAAACTAGGACAAAAGTCTGAAATTAGGAAAATTCTAAAAAAATACATAGATGTCAAAGTATGATCCGTGAATTTGTCAGTTCTAATTATTGTGCAACAGAAAGGTGAAAGAATTTTAAAAGGAGAAAGATCTATCTATCTATCTATCTATCTATCTATCTATCTACCTATCTGTGTGTGTGTGTGTGTGTGTGTTTATATATATAACATATAAAATATATAAAACATGGTATGCAAAAGTTTGAACACCCCTGGTCAAATTACATAGAAAAGAACACAGATAAATTTGGCAATTTTATGCAAATTTAAGTGCTCAGTTTCTATTTATTTGAGTTTAACACAAAAAATAAATCATAAACTATAATATGTGCTGTAACTTTTGCACAGGCCATATTTTATATGTTATTTTTCCCCCAATATGTTCAATTCTGTACTGTATAAACAACAGACCAAAATCTTGTATCTCCATGAAAATTTGCTGCTCTTTACTTTCTGTAAACACTTCATGACCAACAGTCCATCATAAAGCCATGCTATGCATGCATGTGTATATACGTCGGCATGTACGTAGTCAAAAACGCGGCATATATGTACTCACATAGGCTGCAGCATCATTCTGTAACAGTACTATCAGCACAGTATCTACTTCCATCAAAATGTCTTATTACAAGCTATTCTTAACCAGACACTAAATTTAATGACCGAAATGGACAGACCAGGTCCCAGAAGTGCTGGACTGGGCCCTTCAGAGCCTTCCAATTTTCTCTGACCTTGCTAAAGCTTATGTAAATTTCATCCTAAAAAAGATCAATTTCATCTACAATGCCCCGACCTAAACTACATTTGATGCGCTTAAGTCACCCAGATATATTAAAAATGTCAGCAGGATTGTTGCAGCATGTCCCCTGCACTGCAAACCGATAGCCCGCTGCTTCCCCTTATGCTTAATACCAATTTAATTACATATGTGACAACTGAATGGCAGCATGAACTTTTTAAGGTAATTTGGTGACCCAATGTCATTGGGCACGCTACATCAACCACCGCGCCTTTTACGGCCACTTCTAAATTATTTTTCTTATTGATTACCAGACATTGTGTTTCTATTTCACAGTTGAATTATTGTTGTCTCACGGTGGCACTTTTTCTTTGGCTCGGGCTCCAGTTCATTATTTCTGTCATTTCTTGGTAATTTCGAGTTGGCTGTTTAAAACTTGGAGCCCCCTTATTAAGTTTTGGCTATGGCGGATAAGAGGCAGTAAGTGCGGCGAGATAAACTAATCATCTTAAACCCCTAATTATTAGTATCTTAGTGTGACAGGCTGGGTTTTGCCAGCCAGCCGAGCTGAGCTTCAAATGAGAAAAAGCACATCTGAGGAAATGGTAATAATTTTAAGTCATCTGGATCTGGCTTGGGGTGGCAGAATTCATTAGAGCAGATTAGCTGAGTGTGTACAAAGTAAATGAGATATCTAATAGCCAACTCGGAGGTCCGTGGACTCCTCATTTCGCTGGGGACACGATGAACTGCGTCGCCGGCCGATTGTGCGTGGGCCGACTTTTCCCATCAGCCTTGGTCATGTGTCCGGCCTCTTGTTGTTCCCGGTCTTTTAACAACCCTTGACCTTTGCCCCTGGCGTGCACATGCTCCACACGCAGCCAGCTCTGAGGCGGGCCGACGCCCAGATCAGATTATTCAGCGTTAGTCCGACGGGGGCGGCCGGCTGAATTGTTTTCGAGGGAGACGCGAAGGAAGCTAATTATGAGTGTAAGGAGAAGGTTGGGGGAAAGAATAATAAGATTACAAAGAATAATTTGCAGATATAATTACACCAAAATTGGGTACACACAATCGTCAAATACATGTATT